AGGCAGGAGGACGGTGCAGCGGGTGCCGCGCTGCCACCCGGCTGGTGGGCTCTCTGCAGGGCGGGCACGTGGCTGACGGAGGGAGGGAAGCGGTGCCGGGTACGCTGCGGGGATCTGGGCTGCTGGAGGGCTGGGTTTCCCTTTCCAGGGTGAAGCAAGTCCTCATTGCTCAGGCGGAGGCGGAAAAGATCCGCAAGATCGGAGAAGCGGAGGCTTTTGTGATTGAGGCCATCGGGATGGCGGAGGCGGAGAGGATGAAGCTGAAAGCTGAAGCGCTCCAGCAGTACGGAGAAGCTGCCCAGCTGGCTCTAGTGCTGGATGCGCTGCCTGAGGTGAGGGGGGAGCAGCTTTCTCCTGCTCCAGGCGAGTGGGGGGGAGTTCCCAAGCTGGGCTGGATCTCCTAGGGGCACAGCCAGGCCCCGTGTCGTGTGTAGGGTCATTGCCCAGCAGGCTGGTGAGCAGCTCCTTGACTTTGCTCCTCCCACCCTCCTTCCTTGCTTCCCCAGATCGCTGCCAAAGTGGCTGCTCCCCTTTCCAAAGTGGACGAGATCGTTATTCTCAGCGGAGAGAGCAGCAACACAACGTCCGAGGTGAACCGCCTGCTGGCCGAGATCCCCGCCTCCGTGCGTGCCATCACTGGCGTGGATCTCACAAAGGTGAGCCGAGCACCGGCAAGTCCTGCAGCTCTTAGGGCACAGGGACTTGCCTGAAAACTTTCAGACTCCTCGGGAGCCTCTGCTTCCCCAGCCCTGGCCAGGCATGGAATGTGCAGGCAGCTCCTTGCCTCCCCCTAACAGCTTCTCTCTTCTGTAGATTCCCCTGATCCAGAAAGCCACTGGAGCCCAGGCGTGAGGCTGGCCAACCCAAAGTTAGTGAAGATCACTCCCTTTTATGCACTCAGACATCAACTGCCTTCAACACGTGGGAATTCCTTTTATATCAAAGACAATTGGAGTTTAATTTTTAAGCTCTGGTGCCTTATTTTGTAGGGCCAGAAAGATGCATGTCCAATCAGCTGCTCTTTTTATTACAAAGGGTGGGAGGGGATTTATTTTCTAACTGTGTAGCGTAGCAGCCCGGGGTTTGGGTCTGATCCCCAGTTGTGACTGGCAGCTTGTTCTGGTGTTGCAATCCTGGTGCCTTGCTGTTCTCTGTCCTCGGGTGGACGCCCAGAGCTTGGAGCAGAGGCTCGGTGGGATGCAGAGTGCGGAGCTCTAGGAAGAGAACAGCCAGGACCTGCCTGCCCTGGGCTCCCGCCTGCCCTGGGCGCCCACCTGCCCTCCCGCAGTGACCCTCCTGGGCACTGCCCAGCCCCTGCCCCTGCCCTCAAGCTGTTTCTGTGGCTGGTTTTCCCCGTCTGAGTGTCTCGCCCGCAGGACCCTGCTCCGTGCTAGCAGTCCTGCCCAGGCTGGGCTTCCCCGCGGTGGCAGCCACCCCCCCGAGAGGGTGACAATCATGTGCTGCCAGGGCGTGCTGCCTGCTCCCATCCTGCCTTCCCTCGGGGACGTTTCCTCCTGGGGTCTGGAGGGGGGAGAGCTCAGGGGGGCTGTTCGTGGAGGGAGCCCAGCTCAGCCCTGGTCTGAGCCAGGCTTGGTGAGTGCCCACTACCAGGACTGCCAAAAAACAGCGCTGTGCCAAAGCCACCCCATTCTCCGAGAGGGAGACGAGACCCCCCCAAAGGCTGCTGTCCCCGAGCGCCGTGGTGCCTCTTGACCCCCACAGCTCCTCAGGGTCAGAGGGAGGCAGGGG